TTCTCTTTTTGTTTGTGTTTAACTTGTAACAGCTGAAAATGTAGAAAAGGCTAAATGGGAGACTGGGAAAAGCCTGTAACCTCTAGCCAAAGAACAAAATGTGTCTCATGAAATACTCATGATGCTGGAGAACATTGTGACAGCCAGGAATAGCATGGCTATGAATTCTGTGATAATACAGAAAGAATTTGATTGAACTATTTTCAATAAATGCAGCAGATCACAACGTACAAGAAACTCAGTATAAACACCAATTGAAATGTGTCCTGTTTGGTAAGTGAGGCAAAGCAGGAAATTTCTATATAATGTTTTTTAGTGAACTGCTACTGTCTTTAAAAGTCATTATATTTGCATGATAAGCTAGTTTGACTCTATGGTCTAGTGTGCTTCAATTTAACTTGCCACAGCACATCTCTTTTTCTTTTATTTACTGAATGACATTTTTCACTGAATAATGAAATATATTTTGAATTAGAAAAGGTGAAGTCCTGCTAGTAAAATCACTCTAGCATTTATCAAAAACATTAGTATATTTTTATTAGTAGTACCAAAATACTATGAAGATCATGATTTCTTTTTAATGCGGACTGTATTACATTATATTTCTGAGTTTATTACACAGTATTATAATATATTTCCTCCTTATCAAATCAAAATTTTGCACACAATCATAGCAGTCTGAAAGATGCAGTAGTTCCATTCAACTGTAGATTTGCTCTGTATCTGATTAATTCTCCACTTATAATTAAGTTGTCATAGCAATGCATTTTTATTAGCACTGATTCATATGCCAGTAATGTTCTGGAGACAGAGCTCTTGATAGTTTTTTAATATTCAGAAATGCTAAATTATAAAATTAGCAAATACACAAGAACTGGTCAACTTGCTTGAGCAGAAGAACATGTGATCTAACTTAAAACAGGCCAAAGCATAATCTGGCATACACCACAGAATGGTGGCTCAGCTCAAGAAAATAAAGGCATATCCTATATCTGTTTAGTTTTCATATTGAAAAGGCCTAATGATAAAAAAATTACTCAATTATTTAAAAAAGATTAGGTGATTACATCTTACTAGGCAGAAAGAAAATTTAGTGTTTTTTTCTAAAGTTGCTCCCTTCATATATTGGTACCTATATGATACACTAGGCAGCTGCAGAGAATAATTATTGTTAATGGGAAATGGCTGTACTTTGTTGATGCTGTTTTAGCACGTCTTTCTCTATATATTTTTAACAGATAACTTAAATCACACATATTTATAAGGTTTCAAAATAATAGGAAATCATCCTCTGAGGACTAGGACTGTTTTTTCAAGGCACTTATAGCAAGTTTCCACATGCATGAATCTGCGAGAATGAGACAAGAATCATGAGCAAAGAATATTGCCTGATATTTCATTCATTTTTTTAATTCAGAATGTGAAGAACAATGTGCATTATGTTCTAGCATCAGGTAAATTGTGAGTCAAAGAGAGATGAAGAAAAAAAGAGTGTTAACTTATTTCTGTGGCTGAGAAAGGAGGAAAATAGAAAAAAGAGACATTATTTTCCTCATGTCTCTGTAGAAAGCACAAGGCTTAAATTCTGAAAATGTTGGTTGAAAAAAGCATTGTGTGGCACATATCCTCTAAATGTTCCTTCAAAGGGCTGATGAAGGGGAAATTATACTGTGAATGTAATAACTGACCTAACTAATATATCTTAATGAAGATGTGTATTGATTTGGTTATGAGGAATGCTTAGCCTCTAAATATATAAATGCAAAATGGTAATTGTTGTTCACTCTGAAGTTTCTGACCTTCCCTGAATGATGTGAGAAACACATCTGCTTAAGTCAGACTCTGGAAGCTTGCAAGCAAGGAAAAGGTGTGCAACTACTAGAAATTTAACATACACTAAATTTTAACATAAGAGTCAAAAATTAAACCAAAAAAAGGGGTTTCAGACTGAATCACAGTTGAAATCTAACAATGGCAAAGATAAAATTACTAAGGGAACTGTGGAGTGATGGAGGAAAAAAGAGACTAAATAGCTTAGCAGAACTTTTGCTTCCCTCTCAATTCTTGGTATATGCATTTTTCCTTAGTATCACTGTCATTGGCAAGGAGCAACTAAATGAAGAGAGATTCTACAGTCATTTCTGGATACTGGAAAATGCATAAGCTCATGGAGGAATATGGTTTTATTTAGGTGACAGAGCATATTAGACATGGAATATATGTAGAGTGGGAAACAGTGCTCAGTATACAACCAAACCCTGAAGACTTACAGTCTTTCAAGTGATAATAGTAGCAGGCTGAGGTTAAGTGAAAGTTGCACCATTTTACAGCTTTCTAGTCTGTTTTTAATGAACATGACCTTATTCACTTTCTTGGATGTATTCCTAAATATAAGGTACGAACTGTCACTATAGGATACTTCTAATTTAGTTCTTTGCTACTAGACAAAAGCTCTGAACATTTTTGAATCAAATGTTCAAAATAATTGCTTCTCCAGCAGAAAAAAAACAACCCAAACCATTGCACTATATTTTTTACTTGTATTAATTTTCACATACTAAAATATCACTCAATAGTAGCAGAAATAGCAACTATGGACGGACTCTGAGATAAGCTGTAAAGAGTGAGCTATGGTGGGAGGCTATAAGACAATAACACTAACTAATAATTAATAATATAATGCACTTTGAAATTATTAGTTGCACCATATAGAGCTGCTGACATATCAGAAGAAAAACCAACCATACTTGTTTTTCCACAGGAGTACCCAATAACAAAGCAGATAGCATCAGGTGCCTACAGCTGCAGTGCCAGCATATTTATCTCTCTTAGACAATAACAAGTAGTGGAGACATAAACAGGGGTGAGACTTAACCTGACTTCAACAAATATCTTTACAAATCTGATTGCATTGCCTACATAGAAAAGGCATTTTTGAAGATCTAAGATTGGACAAGTAAGAAAGAAGAAGGTGTTAAATCCTCAGAGAGGATAACTACAAAAGATAGTAGAGAGAAATACCTGGCTATTGTCTACTCTCACTGTAGTATTGCCTGCTCTCAATGTAGGCTGACAAGGTAGCATAACAAAACCCCTTTGTGCTTGTTTTGGCTGGAATAGAGTTTATTCTCTTCACTGATGATGAGCTAGTATGGGCTATGTTTTGGATTTGTGCTGAAAATGGTGTTGATAACACAGGGATGTTTTAGTTATTACTGAGTATCACTTGCAGAGAGCCAAGGCCTTTCTGCCTCTCACCCCACCCCACCAGTGAGCAGGCTGGGGGTGCACAAGGAGCGGGGAGGAGACACAGGTGAGACAGTTGATCCCAACTGACCCAAGGGATATTCCACACCATATGGCATCATGTTCAGCATATAAAGCTGGGGGAAGAAGAAGGAAGAGGGAGACATTCAGAGTGATGGCATTTGTTTTCCACTTTCCATAAGTCACCAATATGTGTGATTGAGCCCAGTTTTTCCGGAGATGGCTGAACATCTGCCTGCCAATGGGAAATAGTGAATGAACTCCTTGTTTTGCTTTGCTGACATGTGTTGCTTTTGCTTTACCTATTAAACTTTATCTCAACCCACAAGTCTTCTCACTTCTACCCTTCCAATTCTCTCCCCCATGTCACCAGGTTAGAGTGGCTGTGTGGGGCTTAGTTGCCATCTGGAATTAAGCCATAACAACCTTCTACAAACATCAGCCCAATGTTAAGAAAATGTTATTGCCAGGTTCTGAGTGGGCTTTGTCCTTTGAATGCCTTGGTGAAAGGAAGAATAACAATCTACACTGTTACTCATCAGATAAATACAATAGACTAGTCCCCCATTGTTACTCCCACTCATTTCCCACCACATTCCCCTTCAGTGAATAATAAAGCTGACCCTTTCCTCAGACAAGGGATAGGTCATCTTGCAAAGGTGTATGTTTGACAAAAAATGCCTCTCTGCCTGCCAAAAGCTCTGTCTACTTCTCTCATAATGACTCAGAATAATTTTATCCAACATCATACACAAAAGAGTACTAGATCTGATTGCTCGGTTCTGCCTTATGATTATTTATCAAATGCAAGACATATAGGCAAAGTACTGGTAAATAAACGTGACATGTAATATTTTCCCTTTTCCTAGTTTTAAGTCCAAGACAGGTAGAAAGTCAGCCCACAGATGACCAAGAAGACAACGTTTCCAACTCACTTTAAGTTTGCACATTAACTATTAAACAAATCCTTTCCCAAAGTACTTAAATAAAAAAAACCTGATGCCAAAGCTTGTCTTGGATCATCATTTTGAAGCTGTAACACAAGTCGTCACTTTGAGTGTCAACTGAGATGGGACAAATGTGTGTTTAACTTCATTCAGCACAGAGATTTTTATAGAAAAGGAAATAAGCTTTGGTTAATGTGGAAGGTGCTACTAGAAACAGTGAGCTGTAAGTGAAAAAGGAGCAAAACAGTGCGAAATGCTTTTTTCCTTGGCCTACAAAATAAAATTATGTCATTCATAAAAAAGATGAAAAAGGACCTTATAATACTATATTCATTTATTGGATAATTATGACTTTGACTCAGTGATTCTTCTATACTTTGCTATCTGAATAATAAAAACAGCCAGACTGACATCATACTTGTGCTGTTATTCAGCAAGCCATTCCATTACCTGTATATTTTTAGGACAGTGTAAGAATTAACCTTGACTACTTCATTCTGTAACACAGACTCTCTCAGGAAGGTTTTGAAAAAGGAAATTTTCTGATACCACAGATCTCAGTGTTGCAATGATATGTAACATTAATGTATAGCAACAAACTAATGTCAAACAGTGAAATGGTGAATAGGTACATTGTAGCAAAGAGAAAAGTGAAAGAGAAGGAAAAAGCCTAGATATTTTAAACAATTTTTTGTTACTATAGCCCAAGGCTTCCTCTTGATTCTTTTCAAGCGGCAATAAAAATAATATTAAATATTTAAAATGTGAACAGGTAAGTTTACTTACTGTTTCCTGGATGCCAACGCACTGCATTTAAATATGCATTACAGTAATGGAAGAGAAATTCATGCTTAGATCGAGTAACTTTTCCTTGAAGTAAGGGCAGCAGATCATGTCCATCAATAATTCTGAATAGGAAAGCATTTCAAAATCAGAAGAATCCAAACCTCACTTCACTGAGAAAGTACTATAACTCTGCACATCTGCTAGTAAAAGAAACCAAAATCTGAATGGCCACCTCCATCTGGTCAAGTCAAAGAAAAACCTTCATGTGCTCTTTCCTTTGATTTTTACATTACTTAAGTAAACATTAATTGTACATTTTTTCATTATGAATGGTTGTTTTCTCAACTCTGTTTTGTTTTTTTGTTTTTTTTTTTAAATGAGAAAGTGACCAGATATATGTGAATAAATTGCTACAACACAGTCCTTCACGTGTACCTGCTCAAGCGTTTGGGAGTAGCCTGGCCAAAGTAATCCTAAAACTAAACTAGAGAAATATATGCTGGGCTCTGTTAGCATCCCCAGAAGTAATGGTGAGAATTCTGTCCAGCATATTATGCATGCCTGAATTTAAGACAGAAGTAGTTGTTTCAAATTTGAAAATCAACTATGTTTAAATACATATTTATCAACTACAGACAGACAGACAGACGTACACACTCATTGGTATATATAGATATGTATATAAATCCTCTAAATGCTTCTGGACAATTCTGATCATGCGCTGAAGGAGTCAGTCAATTTACATAAAAATTGACTTATAAAATAAGTAAGGCTTTTAAATGTTTCCATAAATTAAGCCTTTGTATTGCTCAAATCAGCTGGAAGAGGAGAAATCACAATCTGCCTTTTTGACCTGGTATGAATTACAAATTTTACAATAAGTTTTATAGGAAATTAGTTTTTGCTGATATACATATCAGCAAGTAATTCTTTCTTAAGCATTTTGAGCAATGTCTCATAAAAACTTTTTGAAACTTATAAAAAGTTTAAAAATGTCTATGTTAATTTTCATTACCATGAAACATTTTTCATGTTAGTGTAACAAGACAGGTACTAACTTCACTTTTTTAAGCCATAAGCTACATATGATGATTAAATTCATGGCAGCAACTGTATGCAACAGAGCCATTATGAGTAGCACTTTTCTCAAATGGTAGCCAAGAAAACATCCTGGAACTCCTAAAGCTATGTTATCTGATAACTCTGCCTTCTGGGTACATCCTTGACTGTGGGGGTCTGTTGAATTAGAGTCTGTCCCACTTTCAATTTGTCATGTTTTCTTGCCTGAGTGACAGACTCTTGTCTTGCCCCTGCAGGCTTCCTCGTTAACAAACTAAGAGCAGGACAGACGCATGTATATTGTACACTTTCTGTTTTAGAGCCTGTTGATAGGGAAAAGGGCATCTCCACTAATATGTCACCAATACTCTTGCATTCCTAGAGCTGCTGGTTTCAGAGGAATATATAAGACTCTTTCTGATGAATAATTTCTCTTCTTTAACTAGGAGCACCTCCTCCTTTTCTTTTAACCTGCTCCCTCACAGTGACTGAATCCCAATTGTATTAATTTTTCTTACTTCTAAGGAGGAATTCAGTGGAGTAATAGGAATTCAGCTGCTGGATGGAAAATGCTTCAAGATAGTCCATGACCTAACATGAAGCAGTACTTACAGCATCCAGTCTACAGAAGAAATCTTACAGAAGAATCAGAGTGGAGCAACCTACAAGTGGAAGTTACACAAGTATATTGGGATTTCTATCAAAGAGATCAGAGAAAACATCAGTACTTAGTCTCCACTCAAGCAATATGAAAACAAACTGCATAGTATCTGCCATATAAGGACCAATCTGAACAGCTGAGGTTTGACAGTTACCACTTGTAGGGCATTTCTCAGGACCAATCTGACTAATTTTTCATGTCTTACACTTGTCCTACCCTGCCATTTCCTTCAAGCACTCAATGAATCATCATTAGCAGAATGACTCTGCTCAGCACTGGGCTTTCCCATGTGGATTCTCAATGCTTTGTGCTGTTTGTGTGTTGTAGATGTTGAAGGATATGTTTATCAGCAGGTTTCTCTGCTTACTGGATTTGGAGGGCAACAACACTTAAGTGCAGGTACTGCTGCTGAGATTGGGTATCTCCCAAACCAGACAAAGCCTGGAGATGTAGCAGTGTCAGTAAGGTATCTTATGAATTTCAGAAACCCAGTGAGTTTTCTTATCAGGCTGCAAAACTCTGTAAGGGATTATTTTCACTAACTCGGCACAGGGGAAAAAAAGTCCAAACAACAACAATGAGAACAACAAAAACAAACAAACAAACAACAACAAAAACAAAAACAAAAACCAACCACCAATCAACAACTCCCCCCCCCAAAAAAAAAATGGGAAAAAAAACCCCAAAAAACAAGCAAACAAAAAAACCCAAACACTTGTGAGAGAAGCCTAGTTGGCCATGAAGTTTAAAGTAATTTACAATTGCAGTTCCTTTTTCTACCACATTCACTCATGCAGAACACAACTGTTTTGATACATTCATTTTTGCTTTTGGTAAATATTTCCAGGTTTGATTTGACAGTATGTTGCTCTGATGGTTTCTCTTATCTTTTTGGTGCTTGGTGCTTGTTCTGCAAGTTAAGCTGTATTTACATACAACGTTTCTGTAAAATATATCAGTATGTCAATATGAAAAGAGACAACATACTATTGTAAGGATAAAACCCAGTTTCTTACTTACATTTTCACCTCTATCTTAATAGACATCACCAGAATGTATAAAACACTCATGACACTTTCTCTAAACCAGAGATGACTACAGAGCATACCTGTCAGAGGGTAACTGTGCCTCCGCAAGTTTGACTACGGTAGGAAATATATCCATGTTACTTGTTGGCTCATCAATATAGGCACCAGCCTGTATCACTCCAGGCCAATGGAGAAGACCTGGCACACGAATACCTCCTTCCCAGTTTGTTGATTTTCCACCTGTAAAATTAGTTTTGTTTGCTGAGAAATCAACTTCTTCTTAGATAATGCTCCCTCCACAAGATTCAATTTCCAAACATTAAACATTCTGCTTAGCTAGAATCTTTCCATTAAATGTATTTATCTTATTTTTACTTTGCTAGATTTTCCACCTAGAGTAGTACTTTATCACAGTAAATTTACTAATATGTATTAGTATTTAGTATAAATAAACTAAATAAACGTATTTAGTTTACAAAAACGTAAACAATTGCAGGAGATTAAAAGGCACTTTACAGGAATCTACATATAGAATTTGGTCTAGATAGTGTGTCCCATAACCCACTTTATTCATGTATCTCCCTTTTTCAAATTAAAAAAAAAGAAAAAAAGAATTACAACAAAGAACTTCAAGAGTTCTGTTTCCTCAGCCTCTTTAACCTCCAAAACACCTCATAGATGTCTATACCTTTGGTGCCAAGCTCAGGCCTTGCTATATGTATATGTTATCTATTTTACTGAGTCCTTGATGATCTTTTCTATTTCAGCGATAGTGGTTTCAGAATCCACCTGGTTTTCTACAGGTTTTTCACTGTTCGTAAAGGTAAATAGTAACTTCAAGATAGAAAATTTTCTTTTGCAGAGATATTTACCTATATATATACATATTCTTGTGGCTGAAAGAGTATTAGCTCATGAGTCCTTGTTATATCAAATTTCTGCTTACATTTTTCATGGGCTTTATCAGAATTCATAATATTGAATAGTCAGAGACACATCTAGTCTGCAATCAGAAAACTCAGACTTTCTAATATCCAGCATTATGTCAAGCAACAATATTTCCTTAAGCTGTTTTTGGAAAACAGTGCCAGGATCAGATCTCAACAGGACTACCTGTCTTCTAGAGCACTGTTAAAAGTTTACTCCTGTCAGTGAGTCAAATCTGATTCCATTCACATGATAAAGTGTTTGGCTACCTATTCTAAAACTCAAGAATGAGATGCATGTACTATTTTTGTTTACATTCTTGTAAAAAATATGATTTTTCAAAACAAATATGTAAATTTAAGTTCATAAAGTTGTTATCTGGGGAGGTGTAGAACACCTGTTGCCTAGCAAAAGGAAGTGTTCACCCAACAGTATGCTGCTTAGTTGTTAATTTTGTTAGGTCAAGGTCAGAGTAGGTCTCAATAGACTGTGTACATCTTCTGTAGAAAAGATTATTCCTGTACAACAATCATTAGGTTTTTCAAAGTTTGGTGGGATTAGGTGTTAGCTAGCAGGAAAAGGTCAAGACTGAGCTATGGTGCATAGAAAATCCTGTTGAGTGGGAGTAGTTAAATCCAAATAAGAATTCAAGAAAAGCACAAGGACATAAAATTACAGATATCTTCAAATTAACATACTTTCTGTGAACAGCTATGCCAGGGAGATAATTTGGTTCATGAGCCAGATCCTAGTTCTGTGTACACATCACAGCACCTTTTTGGCTGAACAGTATCAACAGACAGAAAACTCCAAGAGTTGACCTATACTGTAGGTAGCTTTAAGTGTGAGGTTCCTTTTATTTCTGTGTACAGAACCCAGTAACAGTGTTAGCTAGATTGGATTGCTTAAGTAAATTCTCATTACACTGTTATCTCCTGTGTAATCTGAAGACAGAAAAATTTCAAGATAAGGGGTGAACCTGATTCCCACATGCTGGAATTCTTAAAACCTAGATATTGTGTCACTTCCACAGCTCTTAGGTTGACAGTGCAATTTTCTTGAATCACTACAGAAAAGGTCAGAAAAGTTGCACATTACCCAAGCACAAAGGAACTCTGCAAACTCCGACTCTCCACTGTAAGATACAAAAAGCAAAATTGACTCCACAGTAGAGCTATACCTTCACTTACGTCTATGAAGAAGTGACTGCTGTTTTCCTTTCAAAAGGCAAATTGGAGCATAATTTTTTTATAGCTCTGGAGATTGGGAATAGCAGGGAACCAGGGCAGGAAGTACAAGTCTCTGCAGAAGACTGTCTTCTATTATCTATGCTTACATGGTATTCATTTTTACTACAATAGTGTTCAGCGACATCACTAGAGTTGCTTAATGCCATTATGTGATTACAAATAGCTTGACATATATAATTTTTAAAAATCTAGCTGTTAAACTTGCATTCTTCTCTGCATTCTTTTTTCTTAAAAAAAAAAAATAAAATTTTTACTTCTGATGCTTGAAACATGAAGCAAACATCCAAATAGCTAAAATATGAGAAGGGCAATTAAAAAATCCACAAAATATCATTATTTAAAAAAAAATATCTCTTAATATTAAGGATCTGACTCACTAGTTTTGTATTTTGCTTGGACTTGACAACACTGAAATGGAGAAAAGACAGCAACCTAGTAGTCTATATGCCTTGCAAACTCTAGGCAGCCTAGCTATATATTATTTTTGTTCTCTTAAATTCTTATAAAAGTTTTTTTTTAAAGCATAAGATACACCAAGCTGCATCTTCATGCTTAGCTATCTATGCTTTCTGAGTGGTTGCAGCTTTCAGTGTTATATTGAACAATAGCCTATGTTTACCTCTCCTGAAAAATCCACAGGAGCAGGCAAAATACATAACTCTCTGCAGTCATCCACAACATGATATCAAATTTCCATTATATCCTCATTTTAAATCTTAGCTAAAAGAATACATCTTTTCTTTTTCTCCCTCTGGTTTAAATTGACTGCTATTATCTAACTCTGGGAATAGAGTTTTTACAAAGGATGATATATAAAGGGGAACTCTGTGGTAAATTGCTATTAACATGAATGATAAAAACTATTTTAAATACCTTTCTTAGATCATGTGGATTATAATCATACTACCCTTTCCTTCCTTCATATATTCTTATTAAAAAAAGCTTCTAAATCCAATTTATTATCTTGAATAATACAGAAATACAAATAAATTAATTATTCTACCCATATGTAATATACTTTATGCTACAAATATCAACAATCTATTGTTTAGTTTACAAAACGATCAAAAAACAATTTATTTTCAATGGCAAGTTCACTCTTTATTTTACTGATTTTTAACTTGTTTCATGTACTGGTTTTGCTAATTTTCAAGCTGTTCTTGTACAGGTGAATGGAATAGACATGATTCATTTGGACATCTCCTCATCCGACCTTTCTTCCAATCAAAGGAAATGATCTCTCAGGATACTTTTTGTTTCAGTCAAAATTACAAGATGGGTTGATCATTTAAAAATCTTGACCACTTTAGAGAGAATATAAAAATACAGTACATTTGAAAAAAAAAGGTAAACTTCTGCTTTCATTCAAGTCAAAAGTGAAACTTCAATAAATATCCCTAAATATGCTGTAGCGTGGTCCTTGGGGCCAAAGTAGTGGTCATCTTGATTTCTCTGTGGCTTACAGGAAAAGTTTACTAATAGCTTCAAGAAAATCTGCTGAACTAACTTGTCACTGAGTGTATAAACTTAAACTAAAATAATAAATTTGAATGGATAATCAATTGGATAATTGATTCCTCCAGTTGTTGTTTAGGTCTCACAGATCTGCAGTAGATTAAAAAAATCAGGGTTTAAGTCCTTAGGAAACACTCATCATTATTTTTCATGGATATTAACAAATAATGATGATAATATCTATTTCTAAGGCACAAAGCACTTACAATGAATGTTGTTCAAATAGTTTGCCACTATCAGTGCTGGACTCCACTTCCACTAGCAGCAGAACTCACGACCTACTCTGGTGGCACAACAGTAGCCTAGGGCCTGTATGCATTGCACTAAGTGCTTCAGAAGTACAAAGACAGACAATGTTTCTAATGCACAAGTCTGAGGTACAGGAAAAATACATGTATCCAAAAGAAGCCGACGGTAAGAGATGCAAGGAGACTCCACAGCAATCCTGTACATAACAGAGTGGGATAGACATCAACAAGTGACAATGAGGGAGAACTTCTACTGTCTGCATATGTACCAGTGAAATAGTATAACGAGAAAAGGTGTGGAGAAAAGTTTTTATTGTCTTTACTGTTTACTGCTATAGATTATATACACTGAAGCCAGTTCAAGAAATTACTCATTAAGAAACTAAACAAAAATTACCACAAAATATTTAGATTTAAATTCTCAGGGTACCACAGAAGAATATAGTGCCATCCTTTAAGCCAGTCATCTTACACTGGTTGTTTTTTCCATGGAGAAAAAATTCTGTTAATTTATTTATTCTATTCACCTTATTCCAAAGTAGAGATCTGAAGTATTTTGAAAAACTAACCTTATTTCTGTTCCTAAAGGAAAGCTATGGTGACTAGCTCAAATGAGCATGCTTCAATGGGACAATTAGTGAAAAACACCTAAGGAGAAGTCAGTGCAGGTATCCTGGCAATCATATACAAAACCAATACCTCAGTGTTCCATCCCTTTCAACAGAGAAATGTCACAGAACTGAAAAAAACCCACTGAAAAAATTACACAGAAAGTTTTAAGAAGATACTTTGGTTACACATAATAGTGTCCATATTTCAATCTAAAAATATTAATATTAATGTATTATCACATATGCATCCAGGAGTACTTCATGAGTTCAAGTAAAAAGACCTTGAGTTGTTGGGAAGAAATTCTTATTAAAATAGCCACTATTTTTTGCTTTAGAAGCTGCATCTAGATTTAAACCTTTTAAAGATCTTTGACAAGGACCTTCAGGAAAAATTACTGGAACATTAATCATGGGTTAGGAGACAAAAGGTTGTCATGAATCAAAATCTAACAGGCAGGAAACAAAAAGATTAAACAAACAGCCTATGACCCTTTGCAAAAGCAAGTCAATAGTAAGGTACCTTGATGCTACTCTGTGTTAAGCTCCTTACTATTTTAATATATTTCCTTCAGTTTTGAAAGAGAATTGAGCCATGGAATTGAAAAATCCACATGACACAAAGTATCAGAGGTTGATCAAATTCAGAAGAAAAGATAATGCCCTTCACACCAAGTTGGATGAACAGGAAACGATGCAACTTCAAATTCTGTAAAAATATTTGCAGCACAATGAACATTGGAGAAAAAAATAACTGAACTAGAGTCTATGGTCTCAGTTATTCAGGCTATAACTTTCATTGCATACTTATGAAAAAGAACCCATACAAAAACTAAGGCTTTATGCATATCTGTAATCAGTAAGATACAAAGTCAATAGGATGAAATGGATAATATTAAGAAGTTAAGTATATGGACAAGTTGACACTTAATGGAAAAAACCAAAAGGTTTTGACCTGTAAAGTCTTTTTAAAAAATACATTGCACAATTAGAAATAATTCACAGAGGAAAATAACAAGAAATTAGGGATAAGGAAAAAGTCATCAATTAAGATCGATAAGAGAGACAGAAGAGACAATTATCTTCTGAATGAGGTATTAAAGGCAAGGAGGCACCAAAGAAGTATTTAGAACAAAGGTAAACCAGGGAAAATATAAAACCTTTTCCCTCCTTTATCCTATATCAGAGAGTTGAAATGAAATGAAATTTACAACTGTCCTATTTCAAAATAGTAAATGAAAGCACTGTGTTCTCATTGACAAGTGATATAGGCTATACTCAGAATTTAAAAAGACTCAGAGTAGAATTTCATTTCCATATGATGAAAAATTATATAACTAATTCTAAAAACTTTTGTGGAATCTCAGTTGTCAGGATTCACATCTTTAACCAAGGTCATACTATCTAGGATTAGAAGATCTTCTTAGGGATTTTCTTATTTACTACATAGATTCTGATCCTGATAACTAAATGTCAGAAAAAGGCCACTGGAAAGAGATTTTCATCCATCACTTCAATATTACTATATAATGTCTTCTGAAAAAAGATACTGCAGAGATAAACCAGACTGTGTATGGCAGCAACTGCTTAAACACTGGTTAGCTCTGGTTTTCAATTTCAAGGGCTATCCAAATTTATAGAGACTGTTCCATAGTCAGAATCCAGGGCAATAAAGCCTTCAAATAGCAATTTCCCCTTTTTGCATCCAGTCTTGTAGCACTGGCCTAAGTCTCCAAACACCTCTTAAATTTTATCATTGGTGCTTATTTGGCTGGATATCAAGATAAATTACTGAGTTAGAATTGTGGAGATCTGTTGAGAGCTTTTGATTCTAGGGCAGAACCAATTATTGCTGAGTGTACCGCTCCAGCTCTGACAAGAGGGTTAAGTGGCTTGATTCATATTCACATTTATACAGCACTCATATACAAAAAGATAAGTAGTGGAGATTGACTGGCAGAAACAGGGAGAAAGGTCATATATGTCTCCCAGTTTTTTAAACTACTCATCCGATGAAGCAAATTCCTAGTGTGCGCACACATGAGCACAAGCAGCATAAAGATGGTCCTTTTGCTTTTTTAGGCACACTGCTATATCAGTGCCTGAGACTTGGGACTTCACAGGTCTGGTCTCATTAACTCTGCCAGAGATTTACACACCTCTAACACTTTTCATCACACATGACTTTTAATATTAATAAATTCCTATGTATGAAAATTGCTAATTATGCAATTTATTGATCATTTCCACTTCAGCCCTTTTGAAAATTATGCATAATATACCTCTTAAACTAAGGACGGATATGGAGATGGAGGGAGTGGAAGATAAAGCAGAATTAATTGTATTTTTAAATGATAGAAGGATATTCAACTGATTGCATGGGTCTTTTAATTTCTTTTTATTTTATATGAATGTCTCTCATCAAATAATGATTTTGTTTCTTACACTGTGATTATTTTCTAACCCATTGTATATTACATTGCTAGCACAGCACAGTAAACAGAATCACAGAATGACAGAATCAACCACGTTGGAAAAGACCTCTGAGATCATCAAGTCTAAACTATGACTTAACACCACCTTATCAACTAGACCATGGCACTAAGCGCCACATCCAACCTTTTCTTAAACAGCTACCACCTTCCTGGGCAGCCCATTCCAATGCTCAACCACTCCTTCTGTGAAGAACTTCTTCCTAATGTCCAACCTAAAACTTCACTGGCACAGCTTGAGACTGTATCCTCGTGTCCTGTTGCTCATTGCCTGGGAGAAGAGGCAGATACCCACCTGGCCTCAACCTTGTTTCACATAGTTGTACAGAGTGATGAGGTCTCTCCTGAGCCTCCTCCTCTCCAGGCTAAACAACCCCAGCTCCCTTAGCCACTCCACACAATTCATAAAAAAAAAAAAAAAAAGAAGTCCCATTATTACCCAAGTAAACCCATCAATCAGATTTTTTCATGAATCCAGGTAAGACCTATTTCAAGTTTTTCTTTGTTCTGTAAGTATGAACACAAAATTTTGCAAGGCTTGAGAGAAAAGACTTCATTCAATCAAAGTTCCTCAGCAAGGCATATTCCCTAGTGTATTTGTATTTTTTTTCCCTCCTCACCATTTATCCTGTATCTTATGTCTGGCACTCGAGAAGGCAAATATTTTTTAGAGCTTCTAAAACACCTCAGGCTGTGCCTACAGCTACAGATATGTAACCATATGGTTCCTTAATTACTTAAATCACTATGTAAGGCCTGTGTGCTAACGTTCAAGGTACATTTCACTCTGGTGTTAGCCCAAGGGGACCCATCTGATAGACAGACCTCGTGACTTTGGCATTGCTTGTTTTGCTGCTGTAGCATTTCCTTGGCAATTCTCTTAAAATATAAGGGTCATTTCTCAGATATCTATTGACTAAAAACTGTGGAGTCTTCTCACTTGAAAACCTCATTGTATTGTTATTGCTTACTTTGTGTGCCTATATTTTTTCCCTTCTGAAGTTTTGTAGATGATATAAAACTGGGAAGCTACCATCCAGAAGGACCTTTAGAGGCTTGGAGAAATGGGCCAAATGGAACCTCATGAAGTTCAGTAAAGGAAATACCAAGCCCTGCATCTGCACAGCAGTAACCTCTAGCACCAACAAAGTCTGGGGGATGACTTGCCAGAAAATAGCTCTGCAGAGAAGGGCCTGAGGGTCCTAGTGAACAACTAGTGGAACATCAGCCAGCATTGTGCCTTCTGGCAAGGAAGGCCAAAATCATTCTGAGCTGCATTAGGAAGAATGTTTCCAGCAAGTCTTATTCTCTGCTCAGCACTGGTGAGACATACCTGGAGCACTGGGTTCAAGTGAAGAACTCCCCAGTACAGGAGACGTGGACATACTGGCGTGAGTTCAAAAGAAGGCCACGACAATGATTATCCAGCTGGAGCATTTGACATATGAGGAGAGACTGAGAGAGATGTTCAGCCTGGAGAATGCTTATCCAGCTGTATGGATTTACATGAATAAAGAGCACAGAGCCAGACCCTTTTTTGTGGGGCCCCTTGACAGGACAAGAAGCAATGGGCACAAACTAAAGCACAGAAAGCTTCATCTAAACATAAGAAAAAGATTTTTTTTTATGGTGGGTGTGATTAAACACTGGAGAAAGTTGCCCAGAGAGGCTGTGAAGTCTTCATCACTGGAGATTTTCATAACTTGACTGGATATAGTCCTGAGCAACCTGCTTTAGCTGACCCTGCTCTGCAGGGGCTAGGACTGCAGACACTGGGAGATGCCCTCCAAACTCAAATACTATGAGATCTTTTAGTTCTGTGATACTATATAGAAAAAAAAATCATACCTAAGGGCAATTTACTTCTTTCTCTCTACAACTAAAAGTTTTAAGTTTGGTAAATGACTTTCCAAAAATTGATGGATTTCTTTGATCTTGTCCCCTGAAATATGAGTTGAAAACAAATTACACAGCCACTACCCAGTGAAAGAATGAAAAGAACTTAATCTCTGGTAAAAAAAAACAACAGGAATACTCACTGAATTTTATTAAAAAGAATGAAAACAAGCATTCTTCCTGTATTTCAGTAAGATTGAAGATTTGACCTTGTCCACAAAGTACATTACAGTTTTGGTGCAAACCCAAGGAGATGATAGCTTTTCTCCCTGCATTTTTCAAGAATAATCAGAGAATGTTCACCTTTATATATGCCATTGTATCCTCCATGGACTTCTCCAGCACTAGAAATTTCTTCAACATGAGCCCCTTGGTCAGATGTAAAGTATACAAGAGTTTTGTCACTCAGATTATGTTTTACCAGCACATCCAGAACTTGTCCTAGGGAAAAAGACAATAAATAAATACAAAGGAAAAAAAAGGGACAGCTTTAGTATCTTTGAGTGGCTTTTTCATTAGTCTTGGCACACATAAATATTTTTTCCTTATGCCTTTTTGAGACCACTTTCCACATAAACTCTATTATACATAGCAATTGGCACCATGCAGCATACAGTAGGAGACAACTCCTCAAGGCATTTTGCAATCAGGACCATGGTTCGATTGCTGCAGGGTTTCTTGAAGTACAAAATTAGAAGATTTGTGCACATCAGAGAAAAGGGCTGATCCACAGAGAGCCTGTGACCTTTGGAAGCAGTTGGTCTCAATCAAGGAAGTCCCTCAGCAAGAAGATTCAAGCTGCTGAGGATATCTGAAAGTGTTTCAGCATGCAGAATAGAGCTCACAGTTTGGGGGTAAAGCCTTGCTGCCTAGCAACTATAGAGGCAGCATGGCAGAAATCTCATTGTGAGTGTTAAGACATTCTGAAAAAAAAAAAAAAGGAAGAGAATGTATGTAGTGCCTTTGGAGGCCACATGGTTTCATTATCAAACCTATTAATTAGTCCTTAATATCTCATCACATAAGAAGACATCAACTAAACTCAAAATGTGTTAGGTAATAAACACACACAGGTGCATGTATTTAAAAGAAGTATCCACATGGATACGTTTTGTAACTGTAAGGCAACATGGGCTCATGTTTCATTTTCACAAAAGGCTCCTCACACTACCTTGGCACTGTGGAGAGTCTTGCAGTGTACACAAATTACATTGAAACCCATTCGGACTGAGTTCCTTAAAGGGTGTTTATGAATGAGAGTGAAGCCGCTACTTGTAACTTGCTCCAGTGAATTTTATACTGATTAGGAATCTAAAATTATTGGTCCTGGAAAATGACCAAAACTTAAGAATATAATTCTTCACATCAGCCTGCCAATGGGCTCTAACCTTGTCCTTTAGGGATCTCAGAACATTTTATCTTTAACCTTTTTACTTAAACATTCAAAAATGGTCCAATTTGAATGTTAATTTTGATTTGTTCAACTGTCCACTAAGAATTAATTCCTCATCTAATGCCCAATTATTATGTCAAAGAAGATGAGATAAGGACTTTTAAATTATTTTCAGATCATCATTTCAGTTGCTATGTTCTTTTTCTGGATAAGGAGTAGTTAGTTTCTTATTGCTACTATTTCTAGTTGACTTTTAATGTTGTAGCATTCTAAAACTGCCTTGTTAAAACGGTTGACTGTCTTCATTTCTCATCAGCTCAGATGACTGGATCATGAATAAAGGAACGCCAGCAGTTAAATACCTATTCATCTTGTATGTAAACTAGAAGCAAAGAAGAAATATAAGAGTAGGAGAATTTGTTTATGTAAATTTTGAAGCCTCGTGGGAGTTGAAATTTCCCAACAGAGATGAAGAAAATCTGTTACAAAGGCTGACATTTTAAAGTTGGTGGGTTGAGGAAAAATCACGCAGATCCATCTTGCTGCATAAGGTGGACTTAGTGCCAGAAAAGAGAGAGGCAATTTCCCATTTGCTTCTGAGATTCTTTGGAGAAGGTACTTGCTAAGTAACTACAATATCCCTTGGAAAGGTGGCAATGATGATAAAAAAGCAGAGTATAAAGATAAATTAGGACATTATGTGTAGGTATTCAGCCACATGACCTCCAGAGTTCCCTTCCAACCTATATCAATCTATGACTTCATGATATTATGACAATAATAATAAATAGCATTGTGCAAAGAAATATATGTACAATGACGCACACAGCATTTATGTACGCCATTTTGCTTTATGAAACTGAACTTTCAAATTCATCGATATTAAACAAAATTAAAATAAAATTAGAATTGCACTCAGCATATCAAATTAAATGATCTCTGGTGATCAGAGACATCAGTAATCATTCAATAATGGCCATTTTGATTCCCTAATTAATTTGGGGAAAAATAAGAAGCAATGAAAAATGTCTTGCTATCACAGACAATTAACCTAAAATTTAAAAATTAATATTAAATATGTAAGACATTACGATGATATTTTTATTTAGTTTTTGTAATAGAGTCGAGTAGCTTGACCTTGCCTGGAAAAAAAACATTCTGACACTCAAATGTTTCCCATTTTAGAAAAAATACACCTCAATAAAATGTATAGAGATTCTCATCTAAAACTTGTTGAACTCAGTGGTAAAACCTCCATTTCCTTAAAATGGATTTTTAAACCAAAGAGGATTGGCTACATTAGGGTTAATTAATGAATGCTAAAATGACAATTTATTTTAGAGCAACTACATTTTTCAGTACAGGTGGACTAATAGTGGTAATTCAAATAACATTATTGTCAGAGAATGGCAATCACAATGCACTCGCAGAAATGAAGCAAAATTTCCATTTCTATTTTGATCTTGAACACTGACACCTTCTAGAATGAAAAATATAAATAAAGAGCAAAGTATGTGCTGCCAGGAGATAAGTCACATTTAAGTGCATTTGAATGAGGTTACTACTGTTCACTTAAGCAATACATTCATTTTGTAGTATTTCTAAATGGTAACTAGAACAGAAAAATGAAAATAATGCCTTGTGGATCTCTATGAAGAGATACCTTTTATTTGCAATATTACATGAATTTTGAAAGCAAATACTACCATGAAGGAAAAACACAACCTTTACCATTTTCTCATAAAAATTTAATTTCTTTTTAAGTCTAACTCATCCACTCTCACTACTTCTGTATATTTTAGAGACTTTAGAATTAAGTTACAATCGATGTATAAACATTCCCAGGCAATGGCAGTTAACTATTTTATCTGCCTTTGGAAGAGGTGAACTGTAAAAAGACCTTTTATACCTGTTGACTAAAATTAAAAAGATAGGCAACTAACTCGAAAGTAAATGCCTTCATATTAGACATCAAGGACAGTAAGATGAATTGTACCCAAAGTGCTAGACATGCAACTACATGAGCAACACACTTTAATGAATGTGGTGAACAGATAAATGATGTCTGCGTAAGAGATGATGGTAAAACTGTATTGCTTCACCCATAAAATATGATGGGAAGTATGTTACATGTCACGTGCTCTTGAATTACGGGAATGGGGCTTCAGCTGGCTGAAGTTCTATTGCTGGTTGCAGAGAGCAATACAAATTTTAATAGCATTTTTGCATGTAAAGAGTTTATACAGGATATGAAACTCTGGGATAGATAAGTCAAAACATCAGGAAAACCATAGCTTTGTTCAAGCAACAATACCTTGCTATCCCCAGAGTGGGAAATTATCAATAAAAATGGAAAGAGTTTTGATTGCAAAAGCTCACTCGAAAGCCACGTTCTAAAGAATTAACAGCTGCATTGATCTCTGTGGATGGTACCATTTACATTTTTTCCGATTTAAACAGAACATATTTGGAAAGACAACATTTCTGAATATCAAAATCAATCTAGCTGAAGGAGCTGCATAATTTCTGAAGCCATTTAGCAACTAGAATTTCAGATCAAGTTCCTCCTACTATAATCATTTTAGCAATATATATCACAATGTATGTGACTACCATTGTAGCAGACAAAGGTATTAGATCATTGGACATTTTCATTTCTTTTATACTTTTTTTAAGTTAAGGACACTGTTAAGATGTTACCTGTTTTAATTAGTACATCAGTGTTCAAAAATTTGAACAGTATACCTCAGTATACTCCCTCCACAGTATACTGAAGACTGCTCTCTATATTCAGCTCTCCATTCTTGCTTCAAGCTTTGTAAATTATAAAGAATTATTTCATTTGGAATGTGAAAATGCCAGTTTCAGTGGATTGGTAGTCATGTGAAAGTGAGAAGAGCAATTGACTCAATTCTTTGGAAGGAAACACAGTGCCATGCCACTATTCAACTTCTGTAGCACAGCCTGAATAGTAGCTGAACCAGCTTCTCTAATGCTGAATATAATTTCTGAGTTTTGAATTATGTAAAGCTCCTACTGTACTTATCTACATGAAGAGATAAGGTTTATAGAAAATGACTATTCATTTGAAAACAAGCAACAAACATTGAAAAAAAATAATGTATTTACAAACATGTTAGTGATTTGGAAAATTGTTCAAAGGTTCAGTCAAGTAGGAATAGGAACAATTGCACTTTATTCATAAATTAGTCTGCTGTCATTTCAAATCAATAGGAAAATATGTTATTTGTACTGATTTGAAATAATTTAGAGTATTGCTGAAACTATGAATAAAAAGCTACAGAAAACAGAATACCTCTGTGTAACCTAAGCAAAAGAACAAAATAGTCTCTCTACTTGTAAGGAAAGCTTTAAAGCAGTTTTCCAGATTCAAAGAAAAAACTAGATTCAGAAGGATGGTTAAGGATCTGCCTCAGGAAAAGAAAGCTGACAATAAACAAAATTCCTGTAAATGTAACATTCTTTTCCCACTCCAGCAGACTTTCATGTGTCTCTCATATCTAGAAACTTACAGCAAGCTTGAAACAACTATTGGACAAAGAGTCCAATAGATCAGCCATCACATCACTGCCTAGAATAGGCAGTTTGGTTGTAATTGGGATTTTATTCTTTTTATTTCCTGTTCAGAATTTGCTACTGCTGCTCATATTTGGTTTCAAACAGCATCATTAACCAGAATCACAAGTAACTTGTAGTCAGCTCTAGGGGTTCACCTCTGTGAGTGGCAAGCCTTTGAAATAAATGCATAAACTCCTACAAGTTAATGCTACATGCCTAACAATCTGGAAACCCCCATTTCTCCCAGAAAATATATTGATGCCATTCAACTATATACCCACCACATAGTAAAGCTCTTGGGAGCCCCTTCCTGCTACAGCAGTTTAAGGTAATGGCACAGTTAACTGTCTCTTCAGTTTAAGATTTTCACCTTATAAAAACTTAACATTGCAACTTCTGCATACCATTATTCACAAGCTAACAATCATTTTAATCTCTATGTTGATTTTCTGTGATAAAAAAAGGATAC